CATTTAAGAAACAAGCTGCTTACTGCTTACGCTACAACTTAATATTTATGTTGTTTTTGAGGGTGAAACTACCTAATTTTGATTTTCAAATGGCAACCTCTATTAAAAAGTCCTTACATAGATGGCGTATTAGTTAAAATCAATTTTATTGTTAAAATTTTTGATTTCCATTGATTCATTGACGAGATATTCCACTTTTAAGTTTGGGTCGGAGGAGAGTAGTGGAGTTTCATTTGTGTGGCAGTACAGCGCGCGATGTTTTATTAATGCACCACTATTCTCCTCCAACTTGAAATTAAAAAAGGAATATCTCGTCAACGGCTTGACAGAAATAAAAAATATCAACACTTAATTATTTTAACTAATACTACATCTATTTTTGGAATTTTTAATATAGGTTGCCATTTAAAAATCAAAAGTAGGTAGCAGTTTACCCCCAAAACTAAGAGTTATAAAAAATGACATAAATATAAAATTGTAGAGCAGCTCGTTTATTAAATGTTCTAGAAAACAAATTCCGAAAAAAGTTTAATACTTTCCGAGATAATAAATGTACCCACTTAAATGAATCAACCGGCATATTACAATAATTATAATACAGAAAAAGTATTACGGTTATAGTTACAAAACTTGATTTTTTTACTTTTATGTAGTCAACACCTAGGATACATTTTAATATTATAATTTTATTAAATTATAGCATCATATAATTTTTATATCAGCATCTACAACTGGATAACAATTTTCAATATCTTGTACAAAATAAGTTAGTGAGTTATGTACTGTGACAAATAGATGAAAAAAAAAAATGGTAAAATGAATAGTAGCAAAATTTACAGAAAACAGGCACTGAAAATTAGCGAGTGATTTATTGGTTTTCTTATATTTTTTTTCTGTCCGTAAAAAACTTGTCGAAAAGAAATCTTGCTCCGATGTATAGGGTGCAGGCATTTTTCCGAAAGAGAATGTTTACGAATTGGTGCATTAGAGGGATCATTTTTCCAAAGGGTTTTCGAAATAAATGGGAAAACCCAGAAACAAAATTATAGGTAAAACGGCAATTATTTGCGTTACTATAATTAAATATATTGTTAAAAGTCGTTCATAGAAGCCATTTTAAATATTTGTAGTCTTAATCAAATATATAATATGTCTCATTGTCTTTAAGTCAACCAGAACGATTGTCTAGGGGGCAAACTTGCGCAACTAATCAGAAACGTGTAAAGTGCAGGTGCGGGAGACGGCTTCCTACCGGTAAAGCACGATTCTGTATGTTTTACCGTTTTGGGAACACGATTCCGTAAGATTTTTGGCAATTTTGCCATTTATTATATATTATTGTCAATTCGTTCAATTTTCTTAAATACCTAATAAAACGTTATAAAAAAAGTCGATGAACTTGAAAAAGGTTAAGTTAAAATTTTCCCGATTCAATTGGATAGTATAAATTGTGCAACAATTTTTTTACTAACCAACTAAAAACTACTATAAAATAAAATTAGATTTTCACATAACTCCTGAAGAAATTATCATCTGTAAATGTAGGTTTGTTTGGATTTTTTAGACAAGAAAAAATATACCACGGGTTATATAAAAGTCATTTTGTAAACAATTAATTGTATAGAGCTGATTATAATATTTCGGCGCATAATTAAATACAACAAAAACTTATCTGATATAAAAGATATAACAATTGTATAAATGTTACAATAATAGTTAGGAATATTCAACGTTAACCGCTATAACTAAGTCAAATAGTCAAATACGTAACCTTATGAAAATCTGGCAACATTGCATTAAAATCTTAGGTAAAAAAACGTACGGAATCGCATGCCTAAAATGTGCACGATTCTGTTTGCTGATTAGGGCCATACGGAGTCATTGTGTTCTTCCCCCCTTGCTACGCTCGCAGGTTCCGATCTTGGCGTGTCTTCTCTTCGTGGGGTAGAGATAACCCAGTGTGACTTTTACAGCCCGCGAGCCAAATCCTTCTCGATCGTTTATTAATCCAAAGTATCATCAAATTAAAATTTCTAAAAAAAATAACTTCAAATTTAAAAATTAACACTCTCATTAAAAAGAAAAACCATGTTTATACTTTACATTTTTTTCTCATTTATAGCAACCAAAATAATAGATAGTTAAATATATCACTGTACCGATATTAAGATGTACCAGGTACCTACAATCAAATATAATATTCTATTAACTTAAAAGTAAACGTTAAAATTCTTGTCCCACCAAAAATATTATAGTTATTTTCTATGACCCTCTGTAAAAACAAAGGTTGGTCACCACTAAGATAACCGATTACCTTACTTGAACCCAAATATGATACTGGTGCAGGGAGAATAGTGTCATAAATGTAAGCTTAAACCTCGCTACTCGATACCGAGCCTTTGGCCACCATCATTTATAAGCGACTGTCGGAATTTAATTGTCACTATGTACGGTGAAAAAAATATTAAAAATACCAATTTTCAGATATTTTTGGTCATGTAAGTTTAGTCCCGAGGCGCTCGTCGAACGAAGAGTCCTAATATTGTAGTAGTGCGGAAGTGCCTGGCCGTTGCTATATTGCGTACAAGATAGACAGGGTCAGTGGCTTGTCCAGGAATTTTTTTATGTTAGAGGATGAAGTAAATAATAATCATGTTTTACGAATAAATCAAAAACTGATAAATCTTTTATTCTTTTTTTATTAGAGAATCTTTCACTATAAGAAATTAAAAATCGGCTTCACAAAGGCCATTTTTCTTCAATAAAAACTTTAAACATTTAACAAACGTTTTTCCTTGTAACATAGGCTGTAATGTATAATTTCAAGATATAAATACTAAATGTATAACCATAGCTGTTGTATTTTGAATCAAATGTATAGGCGATATATCCCATAATCCTCTAAAATCCTCTTTCCGAGGACGCCACCGAACAGAGAAAACAAATGTCGCGCGGGGATGTGTCGTCACGGGGAAATGTCTGCCATTGGTCGGGACACCACATAATTGTCTTGATAAATGTATAATTTTTCCGAACGATCCAACAATAATATTATATTGTTATTCAGTCGAAATTTCTACTGAAAAATCGAACGGAAAACAATCATATTATTGTGTGATTTTGGGTGATTGGGTTAAAATAATATTTTACTAAACCCGTCGTCTATATATACCCGTCGAATATATTTATTCGAATAATATTCACGTTTTGATTATTTTTATACTTCACACTGACGTGTTTTCGACCGCGTGACCGAAAAGCGATACGCTGTGATGCTCGGCCGATTTTAATTTCGTGTTGCTGCGCTTGGACAGTGAATCGGCAGAAGATATCGATGTTAAATAATTGTCGAATTGAAAATAAACAGAATGACACTAGTGCATACAATTATGACTCTGATCATTAGTATCCCACTGTGCAATGCGAGTTACATAACATCTCTGCAACGTTGAATTTGAGTTTCGTAAAAAAACATTACAATTTAATGTTACATATAAATAATATATTCTATATGTTATTGAATAATATTACTGAAATGTTAGAGTTGTGATGTTGATAGAATATTACCAATTAACATAAATGCGAGGTCTTTTGTTTCTTAAAGCAATGTTTCAGAAATCAGCATAAATGTATAGGTTTAATAATATTACACAGCCATTGTATTAACATCACTCATAGGTGCAGACTATATAAATATACTCTAGTACCATAGCCAGAAAAAAATTTCGGAGGGGGGGGGAAAGGGAGTAAAGAAGCATCGGCTAAAAATAACATTAATAAATAATGGATGAAAAATTGTTGGCTGTTAATGATAAGATCTGAACAAAAACCTATGAGTGACTTTATACAAACCACGTTGTCACAGTAATTTCTTAAGATATTTAGCACATAACGGGGACATTGTCCTAGACTTGTCCCCTTTGTGCACTAAACACTCACCTTAGTTATTGATATTTCCACAACGGTTTGATGGACTAGTCCCATTTTTTTTTTTTATAAAATATGCACCGATTCAAGGCCAATAAATATAAATCCGTTGATAACTCAATTTCATTAAAAATTGAACATGTTCCTTTTCTGCAATAAATTAGTGATTCATATATTATACATATAATAATGTAAAACAATATATTTTATACTTGTAATAGTACTACTAATACTACATTTTATAAATATAACGAATTTATGTAAGCTGTACTACAGCATTACGAAAAAACTAAATTTTCGTTTATTGGGATACTAACTCGTTCGTTATATTCATATTGTTTTGCCAAAACTTCTCGTCGTTAAGTATTCGTAAAAAATAAAGTGTTTTTTTTTCGTCGCGTTAACGAATATAGTTAAACTTTTAACGGTGTGACAACGATTTTTCGATCATTTATTTTTGCACAAAAAAGTGCACGGGCGTTAGTAACCATCAAGCTCATCCACTGGCTACGCCACTGCGTTCGGATCGCCTCGCGCTGCGCCAATTCAACTTACGGGGGTATAGTAAACTATATTAGTTTATTTCGAAATGCGTCTTAAACGAGTTTTTCGAAAACACGGAAAACGGATCGTTTTGATTAGGTTTTTACGTTTCTACAATATTATTCCCTCTCGTGTCGTTTATAAATAAATTAATCGTATTGAAAATAAAAATAAAAAAAATTATATTTTATAATTTAAATATTCAACTTTTGTGGTCCAAGCTATGTTATAAATTATAATTCATATTTTTGAAAACCCGTGAACAGTATGTTGTCGATCTTGAATATTATTGTTGAGATATTCCTTTAAAACTCGGCATTTAATAACGAGTTTTTCGTACAGAAAAATGTTTTGGTCGTAATACCGTCGTCAAAGACTTCCCGATAGGTTTACTCGTTTACTGTACACAGAGTGTACCAGTACGTTGCGATAAAAACCGGATCAACGCGGTCAAATGAAGGCCATCTCCTTAAGACTGATTATTTTGTGTTAATAAATGACTATATAATATAATTGGGTTTAGGCTTAGCCAGTTCAGTGTCTCTACCAGTGTTAAGCGGTTAGGAGGTGAGCTCTTCAAAACTTTTCCGTTCTCGTATAAATCCAAAAACGATCGCATTTCATTTCAATATACTTATAAAAATTGTTCCCCGTACATAACGATTTTCCACTAAGTGTTATAATTCTGTTTAAGTTGTTCGTAAATCATTTTTTTTTTCAACTGTGTTTCATTTTTAAACAAACTATAATATTTTGTTCATACCTTTATGTTCAGTGGTCAGCACTTTTGTTAAAGGTTTGTACGTTTATTTGTATTATGGTTAATTATTTAATTTATATTCGGAGCGTAGCGAGGGATCTATTGGTTTTACTACGATATGTGTTTTTTAAATGTTTGTTTTCTGTTTGTAAACAATTATTCGAAAAGAAAACTTGCTCCGATGTATCAAGTGTAGAACTTTTTCTAATAGGAAGTTTTATCTAGTTGGTGTATCAAAAAAGTAATTATTTGATTTTCAAAAGGGTTTTCCAAATGATTGGGAAAAATCGGACATAAAATGATGTCAATAATTGTAATTTTAAGTGTACGGGAACGAAGGTCATTAAATAACATTGACGTACGGTATGAGAAAATGCACGTGAAAATATTCATTATTCTTATCGTACCTGCATGTAATCGTTTGTCTCGATTTAAACGATTTCACAAAATATAACGTTGAATAGATTTGAGATTACTGCGATGTCACTAATTGTCAACAATAATTAAAACAAAACAATTTTCTATCTTTTTACCGTTTAGATTTACGTTTCTTGTGCGCGTTGTTTAGTGGTGTTTCGAATAGTCAGAGCGCTGCGTTCACCACTGTCTTGGAATATAAGGCCGGAAAATTGAGTTATCAAATGCAATCGCTTAAAGAAGTAGTTCTTTGAGTACCGACCTGGATTTATCCACTATAGTTGTTTCATTATAGTGCGAAGAACGTGAATTTGAGCATTTAGGAGATACCGCGTTAGGTTAAAAAATCATAGCTATAATTTTTTAAATTATGTATAACACATAATGTGTACATTGTTACTTATGTATGCAATTCAAATGAAAATAATAAGATATTAAATTTAAAAATATGACCCCGCGCATCATCGACTTTTTTTCACACACGTTCCAATAAAGCCGGTTTGAAACGCTTTCTGAAAAAGTGGTAAAAAAGTGAACTAATTAATCTGAACAACCGCAAAAAATTAACACACAGGAGACACACCGTATAGTGGCGTCCCGACCTTATCTTCAAAGAGCGTGCCGGTGACTGACGACTGCCGTCGCTGAACCTCAAACGGTCTGTCACGGGTATCAGACGTTATCAGTTCGTCACCGACGACGATGCGGTTTTCATGTCGATATCGTAAATTGTCGCAGTTGCACTGCGTGCGCGTTTTGTCGACGGACTCCTTACTAGTTCCGGCGACCTTGCCACCGGAGGCCGACAGGAAGAATCGCACCGGCACGCGGTTAGTTGTCAACCGTAATAATATCGCTGTTATATGTCATTCGTTTCGAACATTTATATATAATCGTATTGACGAGACAGAGAAAAAGAGAGAGATAGAGAGAGAAAAAAAACCGGTCCGTGTATTGAGAAGATGAGTATTAGCATATTATAACAATTATTATTATCCTAACTACTTGACTTTACTAGAAAATGTTGCGAAATTTCGATTTCCGAACCGCGGTCGAATGGACGGACAAATTAACGTACGTAGTCATTTTTTTGTTTTATACGTTTTTTTTTTTTTTTTTTTTTTACAATAATAATGTGTTACGTTATCTCGTTGTAAATCGGAATGATACGATCATTAATTATTATTAATGGGAATTTCGTCGGTCCGACCACCGTAGCCGCCGTAAACTTCTATATTACAGTAAAAAACAAATAATTATTAACGCCGTGTTGTCGTTGGCGATGTTACGGCCGGGCCGGCATGCAGGTTTTAAAGACGTAATATTTAAAAAAAAAAAAAACAGATTTTTCCGCGCACACAGGCGATCGTTGTTATATTTCGTTTACATTACCGTTTGATGACTATAGTAACTTACAGGAAAACAAGCGGATAAAACGTAAATAAACGTTTCCGCCGTATAGGTAAACCGAGGCGGCGGAGTCGACGATTACAAATCGATAACAGTCGTCATTTGATCGGTTTTGTTTTTCATTAAATACATCCAGTTTAAAATATTTTCGAGTTACATTTCCATGATTCGTCGGCCAGCCAGAAAAACCTCGTAAGTCGTTTTCTGCTCGTAAACAACTCTTCTACCGGAAATCTCACTCCAATCAAAAACCTTACAGATAGTAGCGTATTTATATCCAATCGATATATTGAGATCATTTTCTGATAGCCGACTCCGCCCCAGCAAACGACACTTATACTATCGCGTTTTGCCAGCAGCATGTAAAAGGATACATTTTTTAATATCTAGATAAAGACGCAAGAGATAATTACTAGAACAGTTATTTAGTTAATGATTAATAATAATCAGCAATTTTTATATCTGGATGAAAAAACAAAAAACAAAATGGGTTCATTATCAATCATAAAACTATGTTTAACGCAGTATTAAAAGTGTATCAAATTCGGTACGCATATAGATTTCAAAAAAATTGAGTGATTAATATAGCTTAAAAATTAATTTATTAAATCGTTTTAATGTAATAAAAAATTGAAAATTTTACCTATTACTTCTAACAAACGTATAAATTGCGATTTGAAAAGATTAATCTAGATGAATCGATTGTTTGTTACAGATAACTTATTCTCATTTATCTAAATAAGATAAAAAAATACAAATATATTTATTTAGATTTATTCGTCTAGATAAAACACAACACTGTCTGCAGTATAAATCATCCGTTGTTTTGGCGATATCGGTTTCCTTCTGAAGCCACGGTTCGGACGGCCCGAAAATATCGGTTTCCTCTTGTATACACCACCGCTTATACACTCCCGTCAAGTTCTTTTCGCCCAAATTCGAATCATCAGCTATTTGTTTTCATTCCGTACATTATGTTTCGTTCTCTATCCGCTGTCGTCACCGTCAGCGGGTCTCTTTTAACCCATATATGTTAAGGAATTTTGACGTCGCGGCCCTATTTGAAGTAAACTCCAATACGAATATAGTTGTAATATTATGATTCTCGTCGAAACCGCGCGATTTCGTGTCGCAACAAACAAATCGGGTCAATAAATCGTTTGCGCACGAGGGTTTCCGTCGGAAAACTAACGTTTTTTTTTTTTTTCTATTCTTTTTTTTTTTTCCCCTCCCGGTCACCGGCTCCACGCATCGTTTCCGCGGACATTATCGAGTACGTAACTAGTGTAACTAAATGTCCCGCGGACGACATAATAATATAATATAGGCACTTATATATTTTATGATTTTTTATTACGTATATTGTAATAGCACAACGCGGTTATAACACTATTACCGTACGTACGCAATTGTATTATATAGGCGCGATAATTCCGTTGTCGGACGCCGACGTCAAGGGGCAACGGCGGGGCGACGATGTCGAAATCAGGATTCGGACGCGTGACATAACACCACAATAACAATAACAATATCTACAATACCGATAATAATAATAATAATGATAATAGTGCGTTGTTTTCGCGGGTTTTCACGGCATAAAGCACCGTGGAAATTAAAAAAAAAAAAAACCTTCCGCGCGCCGAAATCAATAAGAGAAATTCGATGTAACGCGTTTTCCCGTTGTGACCCCCCGTTTCGTATTTTGTTTCGCATCCACGACTCGCCGCGTAAAATCGCGGATACAATAATGCGTACGATTTTCTATTATTGTGCGACGCGATCAATGAGTAACCCGTAAATCAACAGATATATTTTGTTCGTCTCTCGTTCCGAAAACCAGTTGTTCGGCGGGTGGCCCATTATGTGGGGGATGAATGGCGAGAATGGGCAGTCCTTATTGAGGAGCGCACGGACCCGTTCATCCACATTTTTATGCAAAATGTCCGACACGCGCGGCAATTTCGACTGCGGATCGCACACCGACCAACTCCAATTCCTTTTATTACTATTATTTATGATATTATTTCCGCGTGCTTACAACCAGTTTTTCTGGGCCGTTACACGAGGATATTTATTGTACGAGAAAAACGCATAAATTAGTGTAAACGAAAAGCCGATCGTCGTTGCCGCGACACATAAATTGCGTTCGTCCGTCCAAGTGGGTATTTTGCTGTCCGACGTTGTAGAGTCCGGTATAATTCATCCAAGGTCTCGTATTTGCTGCCTATAGTATTATAGTAATGTCGGCAAAACTCACCGGACCCGTTTCCATTCTTCCTTTCGCGAAAACCCGTGTCGGAAACACCGGTTTTCGATTTTTCCGCAAAACGTATATATACGTAATATTAATATTAAAAACTATAAAAATACAGGGTGAACGATAATATATCACGAACCAGGACTCGCAGCGAATTTGATTTCTGTTCTTTTTTAATATCAATCGTTCAATACGGAATCGTTTAATCGGAATGATTTCAGACACGCAAATACGAGATAATATAGGTAATGTTCTACCAAACATTTTGATACGCGAAAACGCTAATACCGGATTAGCATCGGACTAATATCGGAACGGAAGAGTAAGGAAGGGTAAAAAACTTCATACATAATTTTAGATGATAACTTTTCTACCTTTCCGGTGTAAATTTTAAACTTTTATTACTCATAAACGGTAAATCCGAACTACTCGTATTAAGTGTTATGCATATCGAAAGTTTTAGATAAATATTGTCGATTTGGCATTGTCTTCCATGGAGTTGCTATTTGAAAATAATGTTAAAATAAAGTTTAAATGGTTCCACAAAATTAAAAAAAAAAAAAAAAAACAAACAGAAATCCAATTCACTTAAGATGAATAAACTCGATAACGTGATAAATGGAACAGCCTATTTATCCGCACGTCCGGGAAAATTTTCGAATGGTAGAAAGATTCGTCGACTCGTTTACCCGTTACCATAGATTTATAATCTCAGTCCCACAGCATAAGAGTGTCACCGATCATCCCGCTGGGACACTAAGTCCGGATAAAGGGGTTGAAAACCCTCACGACTTGACGTTTGAAATATTAGAGGATTATTTCTTGATAACGGCAACCAGTTAAAATATCAAATAGGTACATAATTAAAAAATTGTAAACCGTTATATTTATATTATTTATTATTATTATGTATTTAGATTTATAATGGGACATTTTTCTGTTGATAAAAATTCTCCGAATTGTACACAAGAAATGAAAATTTTTCGACCACCGTGATACATATTCGAAATATTAGTCTGCAGGTGAAGCGAGCCGTTCCCTACACCCAAAATTTAAATGTTTCTGATAAGAATTTCTATAACTGTATAGTCCAGTAGTTTTTTGTTGTTGTATTGATTTCAATGAATTGGAGATATTTTTAATATTTCATTAATTCGGTTTATTTGTCAACAAAATGGAAATTAATTGAACAGTAAATATCACGTAAAGTAGACACTGAACATCATAATATTTGTTTCTAATTCATATGCAACTCTAGACGAGAGTTATATTAGCTTATATCAGCTATATTACAATGAAATGAAAATGTCCTTTTTATTAGAAAAATCCCTTTGATGATATTTAAATAGCATTATAATAAATTATGAAACTTCAGATAGGTAGTGAAATATTACTCGGATGATGTCTCTCCGCTGAATTTACATTGTATGAACTATTTGGCATTTAGTATATACATATCAATAATAAATGTATTTCAATAAGTGAAAGGTCTGCTTAGTTATTAATATTTTTTTTTATTTGTAAATTTTCAGGTGAATATTATCGCATCCTTTTTACAGTTAACTCAATCATGGCGAGTGCTTTCAGCTCAGTTTCAAGATTTTTTGACACCTACGGAGGTGAGTTGTATACTTATGTAGTAGTATGTTATATGTTGTATTATTATCATTTTTGGTTTTTTGTTTTTGATATCGAATTTAATATTTTTTTTTTTTTTTTTTTAAATAAATGATAACAGTAATAATTTGCCGAAAAATCCGTGTTTGAGATTTGTGTTTAAATTTAACACGATAACAACGCCGACTACAATATCGATATTATTATTCTTCGGTGTGCATATTGAACCACAGTTTTACCTGATATTTAAATTAAAAATATATTCACTGTTCTCGAGTCTACCTATAAGATATTTACTACATATAGGTACCAAACGCTCATTCGGTTCCGTTTTATTTTTAAATTAAATTCTAAAAACTTATTTTTTTTAAAACATCTTATATGTACCTATATATAAAAATAATAATAATAATAAAATTGTATTATTATTTCGGTGCCCGTCTAAAAGATTCTACACCGCAGAAACAAAATTCGCCCAACGTACGTGTAAAACGACAATATTATTTCACATTTGTGTATAAATTATGTAATAGTCGAGCAGCAGTAGCAACAGTAATTAGCCATAGCTAAAATGTTTTAAATACCTCGATGATAGTTTTTTACAGCCGGTGGCGAGATAACAGATTATAATACTTATATAGATAATATTATGTTTCTAAATACGAGTGGTATTTTTATGATGCATAATAAATAAATATATATTTATTTTTTGGTAGTTAATCATACATTATTATTAGTAATAATCATTTCGGGCTCGTGCAAATCGCCTATCGCGATATATTTGTACGCCTATCTACTGCAACAATTGTTGTTAACTTTATCTCTACATACAAAATATCGTCGGTAATCTCGGTAAGTGGATCCAAACAAATTTTGAGAATTCGTGGGAAGATAACCGTTTTTAAGAAAATTCAATAGAAAATCAAAAAAACCGACGTCATCAATATGCCGACTCAATCAAAAATGGCACGAAAAAAGTAGGTACAAAGTTTTTGATTGGAGTCAGATTTCTGGCAGAAAAGTCGTTTACGAACAACGACAAAGAAAAACTGTTTACGAGATTTCGCCGGTTAGCCGACGAGTTATGGAAATCTACGCGTAACTTGCATATATTTTAAACTCAATATATTTATCAAAAACCGCTATCCGATGACGACGCGCACACCCTTTAACCGTACACTGTCTATTAAAATAATACTATTGCCGATTTGCAATCGTCACTTAATCGTTATCGTAATGAATTTGTTTTTGCTTCGTGTTTCTCGTAGATCCCCGAACCAAAGACTGGTTGTTTATGAGCAGCCCACTTCCGACCGCTCTGATATGCGCCACGTACGTGTTCACAGTGAAGATCGCGGGGCCGCGATTAATGGCCAACCGCAAACCAATGGAACTGAGGAATGTGCTGATATTTTATAATCTTTTCCAAGTTATATTCAGTTCGTGGTTGTTCTACGAGGTAAGCGCCGCGGATAGTACGAGAAAAATAAAAAATAAAAATAAAACAAAATGGCCATTATAGCTTGTGCGTCCCACGCGTTATGGAGACCGTTCAAGTTCATTGGCATAATATAATTGCGTAAACTTGCTTGCTTTGAAACAATGGTTTTTTTTTTCACATTATACCGGTATAATTACTATTTTGCATAATACGGCCGGTATAGTATCTCGGGGAGATATCACGTTTAACACGATACTGTACAACTATATGTTGTTCGTACAGGCGATACGGGGAAAATTGTCGCACGTTTTACAAAATTAGGTGTCCCGGTCGTATTGTGTTCATAAAATAAAATGAAATATTACGCATACATTTAAGAAGACAAAATTAATAATAATGGTGGTATGTATTGTGTTATTATAAATTTGAAATTATTTGACTCAAGATCAATTAATAAAAAAATATCAATAATACAACTATTTGAATGTCATAATATAACAGTCGGTTTTGCCGAACATTGACCTCCCCACGGAATTTCGAGAACACGGGCTACCACAAACATAAGACCAATGGACACAAACGATTGATGTTGTAAGAAATTCAAAACCCGGAATTGGGGGGGGGAGGCACCGTTTCAGTGGCCTCCCGTGAAATCTGGAAAACGAGGGCTAGCACAAACGTAGGACTATCGGGCACGAACGGCACACACGTAGCGATTGACGTTGAAAGAAATTCTAAACCCGAACTTGGGGGAGAAGGGCACTGAAATGGACCTCTGTCTATACATCGGTTATCGAAATTATATTCGATTATTTCGTCGGTATACTTGATAATAGATATTATTTTCAGTTTGTTTCATCTTCGTCGTCTGTCCGGGTAACGTAAAACTAGCAATTCAATCTGACACCTATGCTACATTAACTCGATCGTTTTTAATTTTATATGTATGTACCTGTATATCATATACATGTGTATATATGATATTATATTTTAGAATTTTTTTTTGACTGTATACCGGATTTATATTTTCATTGTAAATTTGTATACTCGGATTGCTACTATACTATCGAAAAACCAATCGATTTGAAATTCTGGTGAGAATTACAGTTCATATATTTTGTTCACTATCTGCGATAGTTGATCACACATCTTTATTTTAGTGCAAATTACTGACACGTATTAAAAATATTGGTGCATATTACACGGTTTATTTAAACTTTGGTGCAAGTTGACTATGCGCGTAGTCAAATTGAGTAAGATAGATAAAAAAAAAAAATTTAGAATACGTATAGAGAATTTTAGACGTAGCTGTTATGCATTATACATTTGTGTACACTGAAATATTTTAATTAAATACGAGTTTTGTGCGGGTGTGAGATCGAAGGCAGTCGGGATAAATCGGCCCTTGCTGTAAAACTTGTTTACGATGTCATTATTGAACATGAAGACATAATTATATGATTATTTAATAGAACTAAATGCATTCACTTGGAAAATCAATACTTCTTGAATTCAATGATAATTAAATAATTATTATAATTATTTGTATGGCATTTTAAGAAAAACCAATGAACCAATCCCTTTATGCGATTTTATTTTCCAGTACTTATACAATTTTCAGTTTTATCTAATCTTATTTTGATTTTCACTTAGTTACTATTCATTAGAGTAACAAGAAAATGTGGAATGCTACACTTTTTCGTTTATGATTTTCTTCACTACATAACTATTGAATAAATCCCTAGTTAACTATAGTCTTAACAGAGTTAATAATTCTTGCATAATTGTCATATTTTTATCATATTTCGAGTACAGTTTTTGTTCAAAACCTATTTATACAAAAAAAAAAAAAAAAAATCGAAGCATAAAATTAAGCAGGCCAACTTTATTCAATCGCATTCAATAAAACAACCCATTGGCACAGTTCTTCTCTATATTGGCGTAATATATTCAGACGTGTACACCAGTATAGTTTAGTACTGCATAGGTACTTTAAATAATTTTATAAATCTTCTGCCTAGGTGCTTTATTAATATTTATAAATTGAACGCGCGCAGTATATAAATATTTGTAAACAATTCACATATTTCGTTATAATATTGCAGTGCATGATGGGCGGCTGGTGGAACGAATACAGCCTCAGTTGCCAACCGGTAGATTATTCGAATAAACCGTCGACCGTAAGAGTAAGTTGGAAAAAGCAAAAATAATTTTTATTTACATTTTAACGAAAATCAGTCTCGCGTACTTGGCACAGTTATAAAATATCTAGTGTGCGGGATCAGTTACACTGACACGTCATACGAATATAATGTTATCGATTTTTGGTTTTTTTTTTTCGTTTTTAATAATCATGAATTTTATAAATTCGACATACCTAGTAGGGCATAATATAGACTCGATTCTCACCGTTAGAATATCTCCATTAAGTTAATCGCAGTAATAATAATTTGTGTAAGATTAGTTAAACCAATCAAAAAACGTCTCTACCGATCTTTGCTCAGAATTTTTTTTCGTTTTTAATGATTTATTGATACATACATTATATCCATTGAATAACTCGATTTAGTATTATAATAGAATCTACGTATGACATTTACCAATTCCCAATTTTTTTTTTCTTTTCAAATTTACGATTTTGGTTATTATTATTATTCTATATTCTATATATTTTTTTTTTTTTTTTTTTTTGAGTGTCAAGTTACGTGGTTCTATTTTGGTAGCTTTACAAAATAATAGTGTAATACGATTTCCAGTTTATAATATAATAATATTGTTTTACTAATCACATTATCTGTTCTCGGGTAAATCATATAGATGGTCAGCATATGTTGGTGGTACTATTTTTCGAAATTCACAGAATTTATGGACACGGTAATATTTCATTTTTGAAAATATTATTTAGACAGTCATTATTTTTGTATAATATACATAATTACATATTGTGTGTTGTGTTCGCATGCATATAGATATTCTTCGTCCTCCGCAAAAAGGACAGGCACATCTCTACTCTGCACGTCATTCACCACGGAGTGATGCCGATGAGCGTGTGGTTCGGAGTAAAATTCACACCAGGTAACAAAAAACAAACAGCCGTTTATTTATCATTATCATTATACTTGTGATTTTACGACCGACATCTCGCGAAGAATGAGTTTTAGTTTTTTAATACTTATCGCGTTTATAGTGCGCTGTCATAATATCGCGGCGTAATTTTTATTAATTTTTAATGTCGCGTGATAATAAAATTTAAGATTGAGGCTGACAATGGAATTATGGTGACCTTTACCGTCACCTTAAATGTCACCGCTGCAAAAAGTTTTACGCATTTTCGTCAATTTGTTTTTTTGTTTTTTTTTTTTTTAATACTATTATGTTATTATCGATACACGCAAATTTCGTACAGAGTCGGGTAAACGCAACCTTTCTGTACCGTACACGATTAATGAGTTTTAGATTGGTGGCTACTTTACATTTCAATTAAACCATTATTTTTTTAATTATTATTTCCATTTATCCAATATCGTTTGGGGTTGTTCAATTTAAATCAGATTTATTTGTTTGGCGATATTACTTTAGGAACCATTAATCTAAACCACTAAACTGCACGAATTAATTGCGTGTGGTAAAACAACAACAACAACAAAAATAGTTACGTTTATCCGACTACAGAGTTGATAGACGTAACTCGTGTGCGGCCATTATTATAATATCGATTCGTATTTGATGTTCACACATAGGTGGCCACAGTACGTTCTTCGGTCTTCTCAACACGTTCGTACACATCATAATGTACGCGTACTACTTGTTGGCTGCGTTCGGCCCTCAAGTCCAAAAATACCTGTGGTGGAAGAAGTACTTGACAACTCTGCAGATGATTCAGTTCTTGGCCATCATGGTCCACGCTTTCCAACTGTTTTTCATCGACTGCGACTACCCGAAAGCGTTCGTCTGGTTTATCGGCATGCACGCCGTAATGTTCTTCTTCCTATTCAAAGAATTCTACAATGAGCAATACACGAAATCGCCGAAACAAAAGGTAAATATCGATTTTTTCTTCGGTCAAATTTTATACCTTTCCCCTTCTCGAAAATTCCCCCGGGAGGAAGGGCAAACGCTGTTGTTCAATACATCGCAGTATATAATATACGTACACATTTCTGGCATGCGGCGATTCAAGCCTACGTCATTCAATCACATCAGACATAATTTCACAAAGCACCTGCCCCATTCCTCCTCCCCTCTCCCCGCTATATTTCAGTCCAGTGTTTCGATGCGAATCATAAACAATTTCTTCGGAATTTGTTTTTCGATAATTGTGTATAAATAGACAAACCTTTAATACGCGCAGTGAGTGTCCCATGCCTCTGAGAACGCAGCCGACCCGTCCGTCTGATTTTCTATGGCTAATTATTGTCTTCTTCTATCCACTTAATTTTATGGCGTTTGCATCATCTCAAGCACGTGCCTAATAAATAATATACCGATAATACAAAATAATGACATACATAACGCTGTACTTGTCTCGGCGCTCGGTAATTTCAAATTGGTTAATTTGTCGTACAGACAACAACGGAAAATAAAAAAAAAAAAATAAATAAAAGCTGTTGCGTCATTCATTCGAAATGGTAGCCAAGTCTAATGATACGATCGGCGATAGCGCGCTCGGCATTCTTTTTGTTCGTAGACCTTGTGAAAGACGACGCGTCTAATCCATACCAATGTTTTTATTTTATTTTATTTTTTTTGTATTTTTTTTATACCTTCTGCTACGTATAAGATATAACACATGCCATATTGTATGACTATATGTTATATCTTTGTATACGATTTATTATACGACGTAAACTGTTGATCACGGCCGATCCGAATTAGCGGCGGGACACTTGGAAATCTTCGATATTTCGGCCAGGCGAAAAACCAGGCTTTTTTGTTTTTTTTAAAAAATGCGATAAATTAATTTTTTTCATACAATTTCCGCGAAACCCACCCACGTACTCGTATGAAACCGTTTTTATCGAAAACCCCGAATTAAGAATACGCAGTGATTGATTACGGAGGCTAAGAAATCGCTTCTCTCCGAAATCGCTGACAGCATCATGACATCATCACACCGTCTGCACTGACCTAATAATAAGAGGAGAATATTGAACGGTCATTTATTTAAATACCGTCGTTTTAATATTCGCGGTTACGGCACTTTTACATTATAGTAAGGTGCAGTGCACTGTTAACCCGCTGGTCGCGTTACAACGAGCGAATTAATTCGGTCACTTAGTTCGCGTGAAAACCTGAAACGAACATAATACCCATCGATTATTGAAAAACATAACACAACAATACGTTTTTCACGCATTCTGCAAACGACCGTCGGAGCTTACGGTAATTCTTCCGTTCGGGCTACGCGACTAAACCTTTGCGCAATACGACAGTTATTACACTGCGTAATGGAACTCACATACGTCATAAAAGTATTTTGTGTGCGGTTTTTTTTCTTTTGTTTTTTTTTCGTCGAATCGTCAATTATTTATTACCGCCGATCTGTAATGACGATAATAACATTAACGCGCGTACCTATAAATTAATCGAAATTTATATTGTCGTAATAATGCGGTTGTACTCGTCGTCGTCGTCGTCCGGACACTGTGGCCGGGCCAAGGCGGTTGCCGACGACGACGACGACGACGTGGTGACATTGGAAGGACCCGACGCGAATCGCTAAACTAGTTCCTTGGCGAAATTCTCTTTCTCTCCCTCACTCCGTCACTGTCCCTCTTCCTTTCGCTCCACCACTGCTCCACCGCGAGCTCGCCGTTGCGCCGGCACACAGTCTTTCACTCGTCGTACCTGTATCGTTCACCCGTTTCGGAATACGCGTGTACACTTAATGTGACAATACTGTTAACAAACAGTGCACATTGTGAATTTACGGTTTCCCGTCGCGACCACGCTGCTGGAAACCCGGAAAACCGGCGACGATTTCGTCGGGCAATTCCGGGATTGTGATTTCTCGGAAAATCGTAGTTTTTTAACAATAGAATTTTTCGGAAATTTCGAGAAAAAAAAAAATTATAAACGTTTTGGACGAACGTTGATAATATCACGAACGTACCGACGTATGTAATCATTAATTTCCATTGTTCCCCGCCGACGTATTGGCGTATTATTTGATGTCGGTTTTCGCAGGTCGCCGCCAATTCGAAACCGACGGCCAAGTCGGAAAACAGTTACAAAAAACCGGCGGACTACTACATAACCGGGAACGGGGTGTCCAGCCCCGGTCTGGTGCACAGGAACACGGCGGAAGCGAACTGATACTCTTTTCCGTCAGCGACACCAATTGCTCAAATACGCCCGAAAAATCAATAACGCAACGACGGTGGACACTAATATTGTATTAAGTATTTGTATTGTAATAATTGTGGTATAAGTGAAGGTAATATAATTATGCTGCGGCTCGGGGGGGGGAGGGAGGGGAGGGGAGAAACAATGCGAAAACAATATTGCTGTCATACTCGGAGAAACGGGACGCGGACGTTCGTCTTCCGTGGCAACAGGGGTTCAAAAGTCACGTGACACACTGTTTTCCGATTCGTTCGTTTTTGTCACATTAGATACGTTTTTGCATCGTGTCTGCCAATACTAAAGTAGTAAATCAATATAATTGTACAATATCATATTCAATCCGCGACAACGCCGGTCATAGCGTTTGCCGTGCTAATAGCAATGGATTTATTTCGTAGGCATTGCCATGTCAAAAAGCTATAATTTTAGAACATTCAATTTCACACGACTAGTATCTCTCCCTTTCTCGTTATCTGTTTTATTAACGATCTATCCTTCTATCCCTCTATGTTCCGTACTCTCTCTCTCTCTCTCTCTCTCTCTCTCTCTCCGTCTCCCCATCTCTTTCTATCTGTCTCTGTTAATCGTATTCCCTTCGACGGTTCCTCCTTTCTCTCTTCTTTATTCCGAATGCCCAACGTTTTCTCCCCGCACGAACCTCCCCCTACCACGATGTTTTACGTTGTGTCGGTATACCTACGGTCGTATTTCTCCCCCTCCCCCTATTCCCCCCCACAATTAATAATTCGTACATGTTATTTTATAATAGACACACGTACATACGTGAATATAATATAATATTATATATTGTTTATTATTATTATTATTATTATTATGATGATTATTACTTATATTATAGTTATATAGTTGTATATATATACGATAGAAGTCGCATGTAGATTATATTATTACAATCGTGTGTGTGCGTGAACGTGAGTGTGTTTGGCACACTGCGTGGGTTAGGTATTGGAAATTAGAACAGTCCGTGTATTACTATTAAAACGTATTTTTTATCGTTTACGCGTAAGACTCGGTATTTTTTTTAAATTATTATTTTTCATGTAAGTATAGGTACATAAATATATAAACAATAAAAATAAAATAATTTTAAATTTATAGACTTTAGTTTAGTTACGGTTTCGACAATGTAATAATTATTAATATGTTACTATTATTGTTTTTTTTTTTTTTTTTTTTGACGGAAGTTTAAAAATGTGATACATAATGTTTTAATTTTTGTATACGATATTATAAAATACATTACAATACTTACATTTGGAACTGTATTAGATTGTTATCATTATTTTGTATGAAACACTGCATTAAGTATCTTAGTTTTTTGTTTTACGGGACATGCAGTGTAATTACTATACATTTTCGTATTATACATTATATACGTTTATATTAATAATATTATTATGTGCACTCTGCGTGGCGTTATAAATAACGATTTTTATTTGAGTGAATAGTTTGATGGTACCCGGAATTTGTGTGTCAGATTATATGTACCAACAATTATTTGCTATAACACCGTCTTATACGGTAAAAGCTCTATATAGTGGACGGCCATGCGGAATTATGGGGAATTAACAAGTGTGGACACTATAGGGAGTTGTCCACTATTGAGAAAACCTCCATATAATGGACATTTTTGATGAATCCGCTATAGGTTGGCGGTATCAGAAAAAAATGCACAAAGTTTGTACAAAAACATTAAAATATTATATAAGGTATCATTTATTACATAAATGTATTTATAATAATAACCTTGTGGGTGACCCACTTTTTTAGGGGTTGTAATGTGTAGACAGTGGCGAGTATCGAAGATTGTAATTTGCATCAAAATAAAGATGTGTAATTTGCAAAAAAAAAAAAAAGGTTATGCAATTTGCACCACCGTAGGTAGTTGAAAATAGTGTTAGTAATTTGCATCAAAATTAGTAACTATGTATTCGACTGTCAAGTGCTTATATTCGATTGACCCGTACTAGAATATTTTAGCTGACTTATACTATTTTTAAAAATCCAAAAATTATTATTTTTTTTTTTAAGATAAATTTATCTTTACAATTTTTTGTTTCTAAAGAACGAATTTATTAATATATACTCGTTTTATAAAACATTATTAAATATAATTACATTATTTGATTGGTATTTTCAAACTTTCATATATTTGTATATTATTTCATTTTCTCATTTAAAATGATAAAATTTAGATATTTTATTTCCGGGATTCCTGACTGCTGACTACCTTATCTGGTAATCATTTCATATTTTGACGTCGTAATCGCACAATTTATTACTTAGACCGAATACTCATCTAAGTCTGTCCGAATTTTCATTTGTAGCACAAAAATACTAAATTATTATAATTTTATATAATTTATCTGTCATACATTATTGTTATTAGGTTATAGCTGTTAAGTCAATACTGACGTACCGTAAAACGATGTAGGTAAATAAATAAGTTAAATAACCACTCAACATCGAAACGGAATATTATGCGTCCTTTAGTTTTTCGTATCTCAATAAATTTTACTCTAATATCGAGACTTGTACGTAGATACTATCGAAATAATTTTGTTGCAAATAACAATTCCTATTCCTTACTACATGAGATGGTGCAAATTACAAATGTTGAAATATATTTAGGATTAATTCTGGTGTAAATTGACAACATTCCGGGGGAGTAGGATAATTGATGAATCGTTCCATTTCTTTGGGTTTTCGTTACCAATACAATGTATTAGTATAGGTTTTATTATCAACAATTCATGGAATTGTATCCCATTATCCCATTATCCCTTCTCCTCAGAATTTGAATAAATTGCAGTCAAGTGTCATATTATGCGGAATGTTCTGCGATTTAATATTATAATATTTCGAATAAAACAACGCGATGTGCGAACAAAAACAAACACGATAGTTTGTTGGTTTTAATACAATATATTTTTTTACACAATCGAAACGTACGTTGGTTTTAGAGGCCAAGGTGAGTATTATAGTCGTTCATGTATATGTATATATAGCATATACCACACTGTGTATTATAATATTATTATTGTGTACAAACACTTTGCGTGTGCGGTGTAACCGTCAGACATCCTTGGATCCCACAGACTTCCGGAAGTGTTAATTTTACGGGGCTATTTTCCGCCAAAAATTAAAAAAACTATCGCCGAATATCAATCTGCATCAGATTTCTGACGATAAAATATTTGTAAAACCTCCCAGAATACAATTCGATTTTGGATAATGCGTGCAAGTCTCGATAACATCAGGGCCGATGTAAGCGTATATGACAATCCAGGCGGTTGTCTGGGTCATCGTTCTCTCTTTGAGAACAATGCTATTCGTTGGCTGTTTAAAGTTCTGTCATTTTTATTTTAAAATATATGTAAATTAAATTGTTTACAATAAGCATGTGAGCAGACGGACATGTAATTGTATGAGATATTTTTAATTACTACCATTAGTCATTTTTGATTTGCTTGCATGTTAGTAAAAAGAGGCATTATTGAAACACTGAGCTGAGGCGAAAATTCATCTTATACCAGTTCTGGATAACACGGAAACAGAGAAACTATATAGACAAATAAAAGAATATTGGCCAATTTTTTTTTTCAATTTGTCAATTTTGAATTCTGAGTATAGCGAAGAGGTCACACCACTAGGATATTAATATTATTTTTATTTGTATTAGTTATTTTTCTCGGGAAAAACTCTTTTGGTTTGTAGATTTGTACGGACCATACCTTAAAAATGCCGACTTTTCTTCAATTTTTCCATACGGCTCTGTGATTAAATCGATCGTGAAATTTGGTCTTGTCATATGGTATCCCTTAACTTCACCGGGAGGATCAATAAAATGGAAAGCGTACAACATAAATTTTTAAATTTGTCCGCGTTCAAATTCAAAACCCCACATTCTCCTTATAATATTATACCGTCACGTCGTATCTTCTCAACTTAAGCTATGTACAAGTGTAGTGGCCGTATAATAGACAATAGGCGATCGCGAGCTTATGCATTCCTGTTTCTAAACCTTGTAAATGAGTCTATCGATATTATTTTGCATTTCCAATGTTTAAAGTTCCCTCTCGTTGTAGGCGTTCTCCTATCCCTTTTGTTATGTTCCTTTGCGTTCGACTTGAAAGTAATTTTCTATGGCTCTGTGGAACTCGAATAATCCCATATAAAACGTGTTATGCGCAACGCCAATGTTGACCATCTTCTCTGTCAACGTACTTAAGTTGAGCTAAATGTTACTGTTTTAATTTTGTTGTCTTAACGCATCGCTATGTGTCTAGATACATTCGTGCTACAATTAGATTGGAATGGCGATAGTAAATAAGTGCAATATATTATATCTATTATCTAAGACAGCCATAAAAATAAAATAAAAATATGGGATACTTAAAAAAAAAAAAAAAAACTAAACATGATGTATAATAAGTAAACTTAACTATAAATATAATTTAAAAAAAAAAAAAAAAACAAAATAAATGTGTGCTGTATAAAGGTTTTTAAATATAAATAAAATATTTGCACGCAAAGATATAATTTTATTTTTACGGTGACGGTTGGACAATTTCTTCTGCTGTTTTTGTGTGGATACTTGGTACTTATGTGCTGAACTAATTGCATAGAGTAATTTATTATCATTTAATAAAATCTCGTAAAACTCATTACAATAATAGTTTTTGAAATGTGTTCATTATTTATATACCGTGTATAATACAATATAGTATATCCCGCTAAAGTGTTCAAAAACTAATCCGTAAGTACCATTGTACAGCAGAGATTTTATTCAATAATGTCACGAAGACGTAAAATAAATTTCAAACGTTATACTCGTACATTAACGGCGCGGAATACAACGTGTTCGTTACGAGACACACTTGCAACTTCGGTCGGACCACAATTCGCGGCGTGTATCCGACGGTCGTGCGTGTACAATCATTTGCGGGGATGTACCTAATTATAGACAGTCGTGCAGACATAAAATAAATGTATGCGCGTGTAGGTGTCAAATCATAACGTTCCATCAACGGTGTTGTTGCAGAAGCATCGTTTATGTAGCCAAATACTAATTGTTTTCTTTTTCGCTTACGATATTATTGAATTCGTCGGTCTTCCCATTTGTCCGTGTGCTCAATATCGTTTTATTGACGTCATTGGAAATTTTGTTTTATACGTAAAAATACTCCCCAACAAAAAACAACAACAACAACAACAACAGCAATGACAATTATTTATTCGTTCGCTGGTAAATCAATATTAGTATAATGCCAGTATGCCCGTATAGGTGCGTCGAAACTCGATAATGTTATATTAAATATCAAGCACCGGCGGTTAGTGTGCGGTTTTTTTTTTTTTTTTTTTGTCGGACAGTTTTTGAGGCGCGGTTGTGTATCGAAATCGGCGGTCGGCTCGCCGTCATAGTATTGTGTTTTCTTTCTCGATGATGGCGCGAAGGTCGTCTTGCGGTTTTTTTTTTTTTTTTT